CCCTCCTCCCCCACCCATCCCGGACGAAAAAAAAAGAAGAAAAGAAAAAAAAGAAAAATGGCCCCTGAAACCACTAGTACCTTTGCCGCTTCAGAAATGAGGGAAAACGCCCGCTCCCAAAGAATTCGGAGGACGGGCCCGACGATGGCTGCCATTGATAAATCTAATCGGTGGCCGTCGTTTCGCTTCGGACTCCTGAAAGGTCAGAGGCCCGCTATTTTCCGAAATGACAAAGCTACTAGTTGGTTTAAAAGAACGTTAAAGGAGGCAATGCAGTCATATACTTCCTCACCAATTTGGAATTGAGTTCTTCCTGTAGACCCCATTATTTGTGAGATTGTTAAAGTGAGTAGACTCTAGAAGGAAGTTTTTTTTTTTGGGTTGGAATTGCACCTCATTAATAGATTTTTGAGAGCTAGCACAGGTGTCTGAGTGTTGTGGTGCTACCATGTCTCATGAATACTAAGCAACAAACAGGGTGTGTTATGGTAAGGGAGGAGAGTGCTTGTAGTAGCGGAGAGTAGGTGTTGATCGGCAGTGGGGGATGGGGGATGGGTGTGCAAGAGTGCTGTCGGTGGTGGAAGGAGCTGGTGAAATAAGTGAAGGGTTTGAACTTTGTAGGGGAGGAGGAGGATTTTGATGGTCATACTTTTTTGTCTCATGGTCATGCCTGTCATCGTCCGCAAAGCCAGGGTTGGCTTCTCTGTGCCTTCGGTCACTGCGCAAAGTTTTATGGTCATTGCTAGACCACCCGGTAGGGCTTTTTCAGGCCCTGGCGGCTTGGTCTGGGCGGCGTTTCCCAACATGGGGACTTCGCTCTACGACGGCACAACTTGTGAACTCAGAACTGAACTCGAAACTTCAACTTGGCCAAAGATTACGACCCAAAAACTGTTATATTGCTGGTTATGATAGCCGATCCTCTCATCTATGGGGCAATTATGAGATACCTCTTCCTCATCTCCGTTTGTTGTGTGTGTTTGTGTGTGTCTTTGTGTGTGTGTGTGTGTGTGTGTGTGTGTGTGTGAGCATGTGCTTGCACACGTTTGTGCGGGTGCTTGTGTCTCCACCCTTTGCAGGCTATCAGGAGAAGTTTTACTTCAATCCTGGTGATACAGGTTTCAAGGTGCATGAGACTCAACCCATCCTAGTCTGCTTAACTGTTAGCTGCTAACACTCAGGCTCTAAACCTCTCACCCTGAGCACACAAACGCTTCAAAATCACAGGTACTGTTATGCATGGGTGAGAGTGCAGCCTCCTCTGTGGTGTGTGACTCATTGTTTGCCTGCCTTGGACCCCTTAGTCACCCCTTTAAAAAGAAATGTGTGGGCCTGTGCTCCTTTTTAATTTTGGGTTTGAAAATGAGATGTGACTCATTTGTTTGCCTGCTTCCCCCCCTTACCACACTATTCAAGATATGTGTGGGACTTTGCTCCTTTTAGTGTACGTGGAGGATCAAGTCGGCTAACATGTTTTCAAAACCAACTTTTCTTTGTCCATTCTTTTGCTTCTATTACCCTTTCAACTCACATCTCACTATAATGTTTTCAAACTTCTTCACTCCTTTTAGCGTATGTGGAAGATGAAGTGGGACTTCTTCGCTGCTTTTAGCGCATTGAAAACGGGTGTTTTGAAAACCGCACTAGATTGTTTCAGTATTCTGGTGGGCAACAGGGTAACATAAGCAAAAGAAATTTAAGGCATGGACCAAAAAAAAAAAAAAAAAAAAAAAGGGA